GTGGAGGATAATGACTTAACATAGCTAGAGAGGGCGCGACTTGTGTTGCTGTCCATGGTGCTTACCAAGTCGCGCTCCGACGATTTGGTTGATTGGCGAAAGAATGGCACTGACCTTAGGTCGCTGCCGAAAAGGAACAAGCAACGGGTCGCTACATACATGCAGCAACTAGGCAGCTACAAGGTCCGGTGAGCTCACAGAAATAAGAGGAAGCCGACCGCAACTGACTTCAAATTTGAATGTTAAGGATTTTTTATTCAATTATAGAGAGACATTTTAGTTTTTTAAGCATTCATGCCATTGTTTGCTCAAATTTTGAATATTAGGGATTTTTTAGATTATATATGGGGTTATACACTCTATATGCATATCATAAAGGTATTTTTTATCTGTGGCCCTTAGTTATAAAACCAATCACGTGTTTGACACTTTTTTTTTTTTTTTCTCTTTCAAACTAGCTTGAGCTATATTAAATGTAGGTGGTGGCGCATACGTTCATTCAATTTGCTTGAACCAAGACCTACATTACCTCTTGGTTGATGTGGTGTCAAGTTCTTTCAATATTTTTAAACTAGGTGGAACTACATTATAACCTCTTAGCGGTGGTGGTATAAATTCTGCATCCTATGGATTATGTTTATTCCAACTAACTGATGTTACCTTATCTGTTGGTTGTGTTGGCATAAGTTTTGCATCTAATTTGCAGGGAATGTACTGGGTAGCAATTGGGTGGGTTTAGACTGTTCGTGAATGGACGAGTCAATAATGGGTCAATAATCCATTATCAACCCATTTTTTATGGGTTATAAAAGGGTTGGGTATTACATGGGCTAGTTAACACACACATAACTCAATTACCCAAATATTTTTAGATACAAATTGTCAAATTATTTTAATTGTTGAACACCAAAAAAAATATATATAAAAAAATGTTTTTATATTAAATTTAATAATTTTTAGTCTCATTCATTACAAAAAATTTTCCTTTTATTATTTATTTATTTATTATTATTATTATTATTATTGGGAAAAAAGTCACTATACAACTTACTTTGGGAGTTATCATAGCCCAAAAAAAAAAAGCAGAAAACGGAGGAGAGAGAAATGGAGAGAATAAGGGGAAGAGAGAAAAGGAGGAGAGAGAAAAAAACAACAACAATGAGATAGAAACATAAAATATTAATATTAATAATATTAGAATACTATTATTATGACTGTTGAATAAAAAATAAAATAAAAATTATTTTACATTAATTTTTTTTATTTCAAGCGTCACAATATTTTTTCTTTTCTTTTTTACGATAGAAAAAGTAGAAAAAACAGAGGAGAGAGAAAAGAGAGGAGAGAAAAAAAATAGGATTTTGTTTGAGATGGTTAATAACTCACCATTGACCCGTGAATTCAATGAATTCAATGGGTAACTACTCTTTACTCATTATTGACCATTCACTTAAACTTAAATACCTAAATGATTTAATTTTAGTGGGAATGATTGACCGGTTTAGTAAGTTTGTGCTTAAATTGCCATCCAGCCCATCCCTAGAGTGTATGCAGTGACGAGGGTATGGCATGAATTCAGCTAGTTAGGTTGGGAGTCTTCTACATTTTTGTGGATATTATGAAGTATTGTAGAGAATTGAAATATTTTAGAATATTAGTCTTATTATATAGTTTGTAGAATGTAGAAAATTCTAAAGTACGGAGAGTTGTGTAAGTTAGTGGATATTTGCGTGGAGAGTTATAGGGGTCGGTAATACCTATCAATAAGGCGAAGGATTCCCTTGGAAGTAGATGGTTAGAAAAAAAATTAAGATTGAAGAATTAAAGATATTATTGAGAAATTAAGAAAAAAGAGTTGATGAACAATTACCCTCCTATGCCAAAAAAAATAATTATGTATCATTTGGATAACAGTACATGACTCATTAGTTAAAATAATCTTCTATTTCTACTATTTAATTTTTGGGAATTTTATTTTGCATTCAAATTTGACAAATAGAAACCGAACTAGACACACTAAATGTTATGGGTACGTATTTTAATGATCTCCTGAATTTTGGATAGAGGTTGATAAATTGAGTCGAATACTTTATTAAATGGACAGTCAAACATTTAGTCAGTATGCGTGCAGTTGCCTAAAAATAATCTTTCAACATTTAAATGTTAATATATATATATATATATATATATATATATATAGTGTGAGTTTGAGAGTTTAGAATTGTAACTTGTTTAGAATTGTACTGTTAAAATTAAATTGAGAAATTTTCGATTAATATGGTACTAAGTGCAATGTTTAATAGATGTGTATATTCGAGGTTGAGCTGAAATTCATAAAATATGATTGATAAAGTTTTCAAATATAGCCAAGTGTGTGCAAGATAACACCATGGGCTCTGGGTTCAACCCTTTCTCCGTGATGAAACAATAATTGAAATGTAAAAGAAAATAATGCCATATATTAACATTTTATACAAACTGTCGCCGAAGAAGTTTAGGTTGAACTTGCTAAATGTCTCATTCAAAATTTTTATTAGCATATAAACTGAATTACATGTATCAACCCATCTCTCATATCAAATAAGGACTGAAAATGTAAATCTCATATATTCATATTAATATTAAATATAACTTGCTAAATGGACTAAACTAATGTGCTCAATTGACTCATTCAAAAATTTTATTACCATAGTACTTAAACCGAATTATACATAGTAAAGAAAAACTCAAATTTCTCTAATATTGAGCTATTTTATTTTATTGATATTATTTGTCACATAATAAAATATTCCCTTAAGAGAACTTTTAAGGTCAAACCACAGACAAAAAAAAATGAGATCCTCAAACTACGCTCTCCAATCTCTAATTTTTTTAATTTATATTTATAATAAATGTGGGTTGCAATTAACAACCGATCAGCTTGCATAGAACTTACTAGTTCTATAAATGAGTTGAGTGAGCTGAGGCGAATGTGTTTGTGCTTGGCTCGTCCACACTAAAAAAGTGCTTGAGCTTGACTTCAGCTTGAGCTCATTAGAGCTCTGATTAGCCAAGATTGTGCCTGGCTCAGCAATTTTTAAGCAGGCTCGGTTAAGCACATTTATATTTGTGTAAAATAGTGTGTACCTAACAAGTGGAAGAAATGGTGTTGATATCAACTTGATTACCACAGTTTGAAAGGAAACGCAAAGCACTCCAGATTTAACCATTCATCCCAATATAACTTAAAAGAGTTTAGAATTTAGAATTTAGGGTTTAAGTATGAGAGAGAGACCGTAGTAAACAAACAGAGCAGCGATACTCTCTTTGAATTTGGGATTAATTAGTCACTGTCAATTGGTTGCTTGTTTGGGGCCATTATATTATGTTTCTCTTCTGTTGGGCCTTGCTGGCTTGGCCGGCTGCATCTTTGGGCCTATCTTCTTAGAGGCCCAAACTCCTTCTTCCTCTTTTCCAAGATAATATTTGCTTTACGTTATATTGCATGCATATGGAATCCAATTTACCACAACAGTGTGCTGAATCAATCATTGAGAAACTATTCAAAATTCAACCTGCCACTAAAAAGATGAATCAGACAATGAAATGAAACCATCCAAAATGAATATGCAATGCAATTGGCGGTAAAAGAAACCATTTTTGGTTTTTTTAGGGTTGACTTATTTCGGTGCCCATAAATTATTACATGATTTTTAGATTATTGATTGGTTCGGTCCAATCTCAGCTTGCTATTGTCCAGTGATTATTAGTTTCAACGATCACTAATCCACATATACACTAAAAAAAATAAATAATTAAATAAAATTGAGACATGAACTTATCTATCTCTTAACGATTGATAGATATAATTTTAGACATGTATTCTGTAGCAGCTCGTACTCTAACTGTTAGATACGGTCGTTAGAAGATATTTCAACCCCAAAAAAGCCTGTAAAACAGTCACACCATCATCATGGCATCATTCCAATTTCGAGAGAGAAAGTGGTGGAGTGAGAGAGACGGTTGGATTGGATAATTTAAATAATACTATTTAGATAAATTACATTGACTCCCTTAACTTGAGCAATATTAGATAAACTATCCGACTATTAAAAAAAATGCACTCCTATCCTCAAAGTTTATCACGTTAATATGGTCATCAGCAAAATTGATGTTTATAATATCATTCTGTCATGTAATGAGTAAAAATTATGAGTAAATACGATTTTATTTTAAAGATAAAGTTTAACCAGATTGATCTTAACAATTTCTTAAATTTGGGATCAAACAAAATTGATGGAATCCAACTACTTAAATTTAAATAATCCAAACTATACACGAATTATTTGAAACGATTCAATTTTACGGGTTAAGTTCATCTAAAAATATTAATCTAATAATAATTACTTTAAACTACAAGGTTTTTTATTTTTTATCTACCTATGTCATTTATGAACTAAATGAAATTTTGAAAAAAACTTTCCTGCACCGATAATACCACGCCACTTATGCATTTTTTTTTCTTGATTGGTACTAACACACACTTGTCTCTTTTGAGACTTGAACTTCTGATTAAGAGGTTGATACCGCTAGACCATTGACCCGTTGGTATTTCTAGAGCATTCTTACTAATTTTTAGTGATTTACGAAAGTTAAATATAAGAGTGTATTTCTAGTGATTTTATGAAAATTGAATTGTTGAGGTATGAAATAAATTAACCATACAGTTGAACTAGGGTGAATGAATTTAACCATTGGAACGTATTCTTGTGTATTCCTAATAAATAATTTTTTTTAAAAAAAAAAATAGATGTGAGATCAAATTAATAAAACTACAACAATTGAGGTGTCCAATAAAAAGGCCTTAAAAAGAAGAAAGGTGAGGATAATTTTGGAAAACATGGGATTATTTTTATAATTTCGTTTAACTAGAAGGGGGTTCGATTAATTTAAGTATTTTATCATGAATGATTTGATTCTGAACCGTTTGATTAAACGGCGTTAACGCATATCTCAAGGAGGAAGGTTTTCCTTAACGGGGTGTCCATCGTCTCTGCAAATTCAATTCCTCACGAGAGAAGTAGCAGCCGAAACCGCAGCATCAAAATTTCACACCCATACCACAACTATCTTTCTCTCTCTGGACACCCTCTTTCCCCCTCATTCTCTCTCCTCTTTCCCCCTCATTCTCTCTCTAAAAATCTCTAAATAACGCTCATTGGATTGCTATCCATAAAACCCTAACCCTAAAAAACAGACTCACTATGGGACTGTAGAACGCAAAACCGGCATGGACGAAGAGAGGTTCGCATCAGCAAGAGAAAACCCTAGAAATATCGGGTTCGCCAACTGTAACAACAGCAATAAATCCATGCCAAATGACATTGCAGTCCAAAAGCCTCCGTCGACGACGATTCTCGATCGATTCAGGATTATGTTGAAGAAGAGAGAAGACGAATTGAGGGTTTCCGGCGATCTACTGCGGCGACCCGAAGAAATTGTGCGCCTTTACGAACTCGTTCTGAACGAACTCAGTTTCAATTCGAAGCCAATCATTACCGATCTCACTATAATTGCTGGCGAGCAGAGAGAGCACGGCGAGGGTATTGCCGATGTAATTTGTGCCCGGATTATTGAGGTATTAGTTCACTTAAGGGTTTTGTTAATCAATTATATGAATTTGTGTAATCAATGAATTTGAAAAGTGTTGTACTTCCCTGTACTCAGTTTTATGTTGGGTTTGCAATTGTGTTTGTCTTATTTTTCTAATGTGGAGTGCACTAAAATATGTTAATATGTATGCTAGTCTCTGGAAAGTTCTAGATGTTGTGGAACTGGATCTCCATTAATGGGGAAAGTTTTCATATGCATGCACTCAAGGTTACTTACCAAAAAAAACAAAAAATACTATAAGTTGTAAGAATATCTTGTGGCAATATAAGTCTTTTGCCAGCAACAATCCGCTGAGGATTGCTACAAGGCGTGTTACCTAGTTATTACGGGGGCAGGTTAGAACACCTAGGTGCCACATGGGTGTGGCTAGGGTAAGTGGTTGTTCATGACATTTGGTATTAATGGAGACTACACCTTGGGTTTTACACAGCGAAAAGAGTTGTTCAAGAAGAGGTGTTGTGGACTACCATGGGAGGGACCATCCTCTGGGCAACTGCTATGAGAGTTGCACTGTTAACTGATTGCAGGATGCACTAGGAATAGGAGGGACTGCTAGGGCTAGGCAAGATGGGACTCAAGGGGATCATTTAGATTAGAAGGCACAATTACAAGGTTGTCAGGCTCGAGAGCGCTCTATGTCTTGGTGGAGGGAGAGATACAAGGACTTGGAGGATATCTTGGCGTGCTTCTTGTTGGAGGCATCTGTCCATGTAATGGCAAACGCAAGTCGAGCTATTATCCTAAGAGGGCTATATAGTTGGAGAACGCTTAGTTAAAACTTTGGTGCATCAGTGCAATGGAAACCGCATGCCTTGGTGTTTCACTTAGCATCTTCAGCACCCTTGGTTAGGGGCAAATGCATGATGAGAGATTGTCCAACTAATGCTGAGAGGAAAGCCCTTCGAATATGGTGTAGGAGTTTGTCAATGGGTGTGTGGATGACAGTGATGACTTGAGCAATGAAGTGGAAGATGATTCTTGTTGGGATGAGCCTTGTGATACCAAAGGACAAACATTCACATAGATTCAATGAAGAACCATTTGATGATGTATGTGGTGGATGCAAGTGCCGTTGTTGGGAGAGTGGAAGGCAGGGAGGATGAGACTTTTCTAGGCGAGGACTGAGGAGGTCTGAGTGATTGTCATTGTTGGCATGACTAAGGAAAGTGCCAAGCTCGAGGTGGAATCAAATGATACGGAGGAGCTTGTGTGAGATGCTGGGGATTATGTGGGGGAATCCTCGGGAGCTAAGCTGGGTCTATGGAAGACCTTGGCCTTTGAAGAGAGGTACACCTTGTAGGCATCAAGAGGTAGTCCATTAAGATTGAATTCATAAAGGATTCTGGTAGGTCTGGGCGGTTGAGCAATGCTACAATGCAAGGGTTACAAGACATTGGGATTCAATGTAAGAGGCAAGCAAACATCATAGTGATGGTACAGAGGTGACCCACATATAGATGAATTATGTGCTTTTTTTATCCTGTCAGGTGGAAGGAGATGAATGGAGAACCTAAGGTGTGGTGGAGATGTCATTGGAAACATGTGGGATGGGTATTATCTTCTATTCTATGTAGTAGAAGTTTTGCCATGCTGGCACCGCACGTTGTTGGAAGAATTGCATGATTTCATGACATGTTGGATGAAAGGTTTATGTGGTTGTGATATGGTAGAATATTTCAGAGTAGTGTAGTGTCTTTTAATGTGTGTATAAATTATACATATTTGAACTTATATAAAAAAAATATTATAGATATTTGAAGACACTTGTATTACGTAAGTGCCACTTAAGGGCTTACTAGACTTGCATGATTGCATGGCATGCTACGCGGTAAATCTTTGTGTCAACTGTCATGTGTGTAGAATATAATAGAGTATTCAGGATTAATGTGAAGTCTTGAAATGTATGTAAATGTTTAAGAATTTCTCGAGAGGGTAAATTGTTTAACTTAAGAAGGTGGAAATGTTTAAAAATCCCATTCTAGACCATTGGATTAAGAAGATTATAACTAGGGCCAGGCACGGACCTAATGTAGAGTCAGTGGAGGCAAATGCCCCCACTGATTTTTTTTCTTTTTAAAGTATTATATACTAGTAGTTTTTCCTTTTTTGAATTATATACCTATGAAATTTTAATGTTGACCCCCTTGCAATTACAAAAAAATCCCACTTTTGCCCCCCTCACACAATTTTCTGAGTCCGTCCCTAACTAGGGCTGAACCCAACCTTAAATTTGGTGGGGTTGGGTAGTTATTTTTATTGTTTGTGTTTGGCTTGAGTTCAAAAATTTCAACTTGAGTTCAATTCTGGTTGGGCTTGGGCACCTCAAGCCAACCAAAAACCCACCCTCTGTTATTATTACTATTATTAAGTAGGCATGTTGCAGTAGTTAATTTGTGATTTAGTGGTTGAGATGAAAAATATCTCTTTTTAAGTTTTGGTAATCAGTTCATGCGTATTACATTATGAACTTACAATGATAATTGATTTAATTTAAATTGAATTAAAAAATCTTGTGTAAAAACATTACACTTTAAAATTTTGCCTCAACAATTAGAAAAAAACATAAGAAAGGCAATAAAATAGCATTCTCTCTTTTTAGTTAAAAAGTTTGAATACTTAAAATGACGAAAGAATTCAATTGCTACTAACTTGTCAAAAAAAGAATTTAATTGCTACTAAGAAGTATGTTTAGATTGTTTGACTCAAAAAATTGGATTGCAAAAATTATAATTGCAAAATTTTACTTTTAATTTGGCATGGTTTACTGAACTCTAATCAGTCACCAGTTACTGGAAAAGCATAATCAGAAAGGATGAAACCATTGCTGTCATGAAAGCATTGTCATCATGTAATTGCTGTAGCCTTTGCCCTTCGAAGCCTTGTTGTCTTGCTGCTGCTGCTGCTTGCTATGTCTTGTTTTTTTCTCTGCCTACATCCACCTTTCACTAGGAAAGATCGTCGTACCTCCCTACTCCTATAACTCCTCACAATCTCTTCCTATTCTATCTCTCTTGAAGATTGGGGGAGGTTATGGAAGATTTGAGTCGTCGATGTCGCCTATGGTGGAGGATATGGAATGGGCAAAGTGTTAGATTGTGTAAGTTAACGGATTGCATAATGCAGTCATACCAGACTATACGTAAGCTCATCAACCCTCCCACTCACATGAACAACCCTAAGATTTAATTTAAAATTCGCTAATAGTATATAGTAAGCAATTTTCCTTTTAATTCCATATCTTCCAAGTAGCACTGAATCAAAAGGTTACCAAATCAAATCATTGGTGAGCTCTGCTTCTTTATATATAATTATATTTTTATAGATGCGTATAATTATGTACATATATATATTTGGATTTAAAGTGCTTCTAAGTTGTAATTTATCTTCCATTAAAGTTGTGACTGAAGTTGAAGTACTCTACTCAACTCAACTCAAAGAAATCTTATTGAACTATTTGGATTGGGCTACAAGAGTCATATTTTCAATTAAATACAATCTATTATATTTTTTTCACTATCTCAACCATGCTAATTTTGGTCTTCCCTTTCTATGAGCCATCCCTCAGCGTGGACTGTCACCTTTTCTTATTGGTGCAATTATTATTTTTTTTGATAAGTAAGAATATATAAGGGAGCTTTCAAACGGGAAATGCATCCCGAAGGCTACACAAGGGCCGAAGCCAAGTAAGAGGTCCTAAGGACCCAAAGAACCCAAAAAATTAACAATTTCCTCTATAGATTTACAATTTCTCCTCATCACCCAACTAAAAAGAGAACTAATTAATATGGAGTAATAAATTTCAAGGTCCCAATGGAAGATTCCTCCCCATCAAAAGCTCTTCTATTCCATTCCTTCCAAGTGCACCATTTGCAAGGGGGGGTCGCCCTCCAAAATCACGGACACACTAAAACCTATCCAAGTGTCAATCAAATCCCTTTATTACCGAGGCATAACCCATTGGATGCCGAACAAACCTAAAATAAGACTCCAACAGTCTTGAGCCACGGGGCAATGCAAAAGAAGGTGATCCACAGGCTCTCCATCTTGTTTGCACAGACAACACCAATTGACTGTAATTTGTCTTCTCTTTCTTAGATTGTCCATGGTCAAAATATTTCCCCATACAACGGACCAAACAAAAAATGCCACTCGAAGAGGAGCCTTCGAGTGCCAAACCATCTTCCATGGGAAGATAGAACCATGAAAGCCGGAAAGGCAGAGGAATAGGGAACGGACCTCAAACCTTCCCTGAGGAGAGGGCACCCAAAATAAAGAATTAGAACCTCTACCATCCACCTCCGGTCTATACAAAAGATCCAGCAGGCTAGAAACATCGTCCAACTCCCAATTATTAGTACAATTATTGATCACATGAACGAACAATCTAGTCGATTTTCTCTCATTTTTAACTGTTTGCTTTTTAGTATCTCATCTCCTTTGATTTTCACATCATCACTTGTACTCTGTATTTTGCTAAAACATTATATTTATTTGAATTCCTATTTATCTTAAACACTTCTTGATTATAGAGTTTCTCTTTAAACTCTAATTTAGCACTTATCCCTTTAGTTTTATCAATTAGAATAATATAATAAGTGAGTTGCATAAACTTTTGAACCCCATCTTGTGTGTTTTATTAACTCATCTATGATCAAGGCAAGTTATTCTTACTGTAACTTTATAATAATTGGAAGTGTGATTGGTTCTTATTATATTTACAACTCCATTATTTATAATATCATCTTCCTTGCCCCTTTTCCACATGAATGGGATCGGCCATATGAAGTCTATTTTTCCATTCCACTGTGTCACCTTTAATATTTAAGTTGTTGAAGCCATTTTTCCATTCCACTGTGGCACCTTTAATATTTAAGTAGTTGAAATTATTTTTAATTACTTTATCATGTGTTAGTTTTGATCGGCCTCCCATCTCTTACCTTTTATGGAAACTAATCTTTCTTTTATAAGGAGTAAATCAACTAGTCTACGTCCTATGTTTCCATACCACCTAAGTCAATTTTCTCTTATGTTGTCATTAATATGCACTATTCCAAATCTCTTCCTCACACTTATATTAGTAAATCTTTCTTTTCTAGTCACTCCTTTCTTCCACCTCAATATCCTCATTTCTGCTACATGAATGTACTCTCGTTTCTTTTTTAACGCTTCACACTCTGCCTCGTATAAGATAGCTTGCCAGCCTTGCCTAATGACCATTTTACATTTTTTTTTTTTTTAAAACATGTTTGGTATTTTTTATCAAATAGGTATCATTAGCTTGTCTCCATTTGGTTCATCCTACTCGAATTTTACCAGTAATATCATCATCTATTGTCCAATGTTGTTGTATTACTGATCTTAAGTATAAAAAAAGATGATTTTTTCGATTTCCCTTATGGTCTTGGATTACCATTGTTATATTATTACTTTCCAAATCTCAATTAAATTTACATTCCAGATATTCTGTTTCAGTCCTACTGTAACTAATTTGTAGTCCTTTTGTTTTTAATGCATTTCTCCGAGTTTCTAATTTTGCTTCCAAGCCTTCCCTATAAGTATCCAACAACACCACATCACCAGCAAACGACATGCACCATAGAAGTATCCTTGGTGTAGTTCCACTTTTATATAGTTTTTCCATATTCGGCGCAAACTTTAAAATTTGTATCCATAATTATATATATGTGTGTGTGTGTGTGTGTGTGTGTATTCATAAGTATCTTGAATAATATTTACATGATTTAAAGGGACTCATTTTCTATGTAAAGCTGACCAAATTATCTCCCTTGTAACTCTACCGCATGCCTTCTCTAAGTCTATGAAAACCGTGCAGATCAGTTTGTTTACTTCTACATTCTTCTATCAATTGCCTAAGTAAATGGCATCTGTAGTAGATATCTTTGGCAAAATCTGAATTGTGCCATATTACATCTTTAGGGACCCTATCATAGGATTTTTTTGCCCCAAATCTATAAAAGCCTTTATATTGTGGTAAATCGTCTCTTGCCATAAACTGGTGTGCTATGTGTAGTGAGCTAGCTTAAGGGCAAGGGATCAGTGTGGTAGGAAGTGATCGAGCAATTACGACAAGCAGTTAGTGGGGAAATGCTGATATAGGTCTTCTCAGGTAGGCCTAGGTGCCGCAAGTTTGTGGCTGGGGTATTGTCCATGACAGTAGTCTTACAGGACAATGGGGGCAAGAGCGAAGCTTTTGTATTAAAACAATTTTTTTTTTTTTTTTGGAAACAATTGACCAGTGTGATTTTTTCCTGAAGTTTCTGGGCTGAGTACAAAATATTTTTCCCTCCATAATTTAACACATTCATGCCAAAAAGATTTCAAATTTAATAGGTATGAAATTATACAGTGGAGTTACATTCATCAGCAAGACATGTGGTTCTCTAACCTTTAACCTAAGAACGTTTGTAATTAGTACTTTTTCTTTTCTTTCCTGAATCAGCTTTTTATTAACCACAAAAGCCACACAATACAAACAAAAACAGAGACACCTTTCAGAAACAAGACAAACATCTAAAAACCACCATTTCCAAACATTTAGGTAGGTGAAATAACAAAGAAAAGAATCCAACAAAAGGGGGAAAAAAACAAAAAAAGGAACATCAAAAAATTAGGAGCCAACCAAGACAAACAAGCTCAAACAGCTTCTAAAGACACTCAGAGGAAGAGCAGCTCCACCAAATCTTGCAAATGCTCACCAGTAGTGTCCACCACATTCCACAGAACTTGTCTAGCAATTCGAGAGGAATTAATTGACTTTCCTTCACTTATCAAAAAAAAAAAAAAAAAAAAATTGACTTTCCTTCATCATAATTCTGATTTCAAGCCCACCAAAGCTGCCACATGGTGTAGGTGAAAATCAATATTATTCTTCTACTGCAACTTGCTTTAGAAATGGAATGCAAGATGAATCAATTCACTATTTGATCAAAAGAATTCACATTGCTCCTATTCCAGTGAAATAAGTCCAACAACCAAAATTTCCGAACAAAAAAAGTCCACCAACCAAAACCATGATGTGCAAGCTTACAGCTGAAGAAAATGGGATCTCTGGAATTGGAATTTACCAAACTGTTATGACAAATAGGAACCACATAAAGACCTCTAAGCTGCCAATTGGAAAGGGAAGGCAGCCTAACGTGAAGAGCTAAACAAGAGGTAGTAATACTTGCAGCAGGTCTGTCTTCCATTCCAAACAAGCTGCAAGTTGGTAATTATTTTTTATATAATATTTTTGAGAACCTCCCTATTTGGAAGGTGATATCTCAACAAAAAGTGGAGCCTCAAGTTATGAGGTGTTTGCCTTACAGGTAACTTGCTGGAGAGAAACTTTTTGTGTTTTGATTCTGTCTTGAAGTGTATCTTTGAGATTTTCCTTGGGAAATCATTGTTGTCTTAAGCTCTTTGGCCTTTCAAAAAAATGTATACAGGATGACCTGTGTTTTTTATTGTTTAGGAATTGCAAATGGTGCGAGGTCGATTATATTTGTTAGCGATGGAACAGTTTCTTGTTGTATAAACCTTTTATGGTTTGATCCTCTCTTGAAGTATTGCCTTGAGCTTTACTTTGGGAAATCATCGAGTTGTTAAACATTTTGTGGCCTTTAAAAACTGTGTATACAAGACAGGTTTTTGTGTTATATGCGAGGATGATTGTCTTTGTTAGTGAAGGAACAGATTCAAATTATGCTGTTGGAATTCTCATATATATGTATATATATATGTACATATATTTAAACTGGGGAGTCTCTACATTTAGGAGTTTTAGAGCAGGAAACCCTGTTAAGAAATGGCTAAATTTGGTGGATTTGTAATGTGCATGGTTTGCATGACATGAGAGTTGCCAATTTTACGTTCTTTGATCAAATTTATGCAACAGGTCCTTTGACGCTGTTAAAGATTGCTGGCATGACTGACCTGAAATATTGTTCTCTCATCTCTTGGTGTCTTAGTTTTTAGTGATATATTTAAATTACCAAAATTACTCCTATGTGTAACTACCGAATGGGAGTCATTTGTCCAACACGCCAACCTCTCATACAGAAAGTTCTGTCTTAACTGACTTTCAGATTTGAACTCACCCAAACCTCCCATCACTCCCACTCTCTCTCTCTCTCTCTCTCTCTGTGGTGTCCAAGTGTCTGTCTTGACATCTTTGGATATTTGTCAAAGCTGTAGGGAAACAATGTGATCATCTCGTTGAGTTCTTGAGATGTTTGTCAAGCTGTTCAACTAATGTGGGAAGTATTAGAAGGATAGACAGGTAGCACATTCTGAAATATATGTTACTTAAACAACTCTGTAACCCAATTTTTTAAAACCAAAGTGCTCATTACCCAAACTTAACTATATAGCTATTCTTTATCCCCTTATGCTTTTATATCTGTAACTTGTAATCACAACTCGGAGTCTCTATCTGGCATCTTCATTTTGTGGAATACAAATGTGAAGTACAATATTAGTTGATGATTGCCTTCTTTCTTCTTTTGGATTTGGGCCTGGCCGTTCTCATTATTTGTGTTGGTTTATTGACCTCGGAAGTCTAGCCATGCAAAATACCTAGGGGAACAGTGCTGCAGGCATTACTTTATTCCAACTTCTAGTGAGTTTGGATATTCAATTTTCATTTTTGTTTATTATATATCTCATTTTTATGGTTATTTCAATAACAATATTGATTTTTTTTTTCTTTATCCTGAATAATTGATTCCTTTTGTGTTCCCTTTTTCGCATTGCAAAAGCGAATTATTTATACTTTATGGATCTTTGTGCTGGGATATATTCAGGCTTCATGCGTTAGATAGATGACTTAGGTATACATAGATATTTTCTACCTGTGCCACTTGTTTTGATTGTTGGTACTTCTGCTGAAAACATTACTGATTCATAAAGTAAATGATTGTTTTATTCAGTTCCAAGGCAATGTTTCTTTTGGAAACTTTTTGTGTTGCAACATCATTGGGTTTGTTCAGAAGTTTTTTTTATGCACATACTGATATTCTCTTTTTCTTTTTATTCCTGACTTTTGGTTTTAGCTAAATGCATTTCTGTTGTTATCTTCTTGAGCTCGTCTTTCATTTCTGTACCCTGATGCTTGGTAGAACTATATTTTTAATGTCTAATATTCTGGGTCGACTTGCTTATTCATTTATCTGATATTTTAGTTTGAACGCTTCTGAAACTTTGCCCTTTTCAGGTCCCAGTTGAGATAAAACTGCCTTCTTTGTATCTTTTGGACAGTATTGTCAAGAATATTGGCCGGGAATATGTTAGATACTTCTCTTCCCGTTTGCCTGAGGTGAATTGACTTTTTTGCATTTTCTCTGAAAATGTTCACTGACATGCCCGCACGTTAGTTTAATTTTGTAAGATTCTAATATCCTATGATTCCCTCGCACATGATTTGTGTTATTTTTCAAGGTTTTTTGTGAGGCATACAAGCAAGTTCACCCTAGCATGCATCCTGCCATGCATCACCTCTTTGGGACCTGGTCAGCTGTGTTTCCAACTTCAGTACTTCGCAAGATTGAGGCTGAGTTGCAATTTTCTCCGTCAGTAAATCATCAATCTTCTGGCTTGACTTCCTTGAGGGCTTCTGAATCTCCTCGACCAACCCATGGCATACATGTCAATCCAAAATACTTGGAAGCAAGACATCAGTTTGAAATTTCAACTGCAGATGTGGTAAAGTTTCTCAATGAAATTTCTCTCCCTCCCTCTCTCTCTCTCTTCCCCCTCCATCCCACCCCCCTCCCCTCCCCTCCCTCTCTCTATAGACTGCAGGTACATATACTAAATGTGCCAGAATTTGTTTGATTTAGATGTCAGAGGGATGATTTTAACGCGGTGAACAATTGTAAACTTTTGTGAAGGATCTGTCCAGATTATAATCATTACAGCTCTGGAATTTGGTGTTTTGGAGTTTAATAAGTAACATATATGTGAACCAGATTGAGTTTCAAAATAGTGTATGTGTTGATGCATGGGTAAATGAGGCGCATGTTGAGGAAGAGTGGGATGTGGGATAATTACTTGGCTAATGACTGTTATTTTAGTGTACTAACTTCTTTTCTTTTTCGGTTTATTTTTTTATTTTTTATTTAATTTTTTTAAGTTTGTCAAAAACTTTTTCTGTTATTATGTGATGTTGCTGCCATAGCATGTTTGATGTTCCTACTATAGGTGTAGTTGCAGAGGGATCCAAACCAACTAGAGGAACTGAAGCTTGGGTGGAATATAGGATAGAGCTTTATCTTTTATCTGCCACGAGGCAGGTTATTTTCTTATATAACTATGGACGCTCCATTAGCGTGTCACCTGAGGCAGGTTTTTTACTTATGACAGGACAAACACCTTTCCTCTGCATTTTGATAATTTTTCTTGGTCATTTAATGCCTCTTTGCTGATACTTCTGTTCCTCTCCGTAATGAAATGGCTTGAAACTTAAAATGTTTTATAATTCTAGCAATGTTTAAGTTTTGAAATTTTCACTTTGAAATCCTCAATGGTGGTCATTTTCCCGTCATCTAAAACACGCTGGATAGGCTTCTTTAACCAATTTGGTTCCTCGTAGTGAGAAAAGAAGGAAAGTGATTGGGGGGAATTTTATAAGAAAACATATTATGTTGATATGCAATGACCAACCTTTTGACATAGATTCTCTCTTAACTTGCATTGGTCCCAACTACTTGAGGGAGGGAGGGATGAATCGTTTAAGAATGCATATTATGTTGACATGCAATGACCAATTAGGAAAACATACGATGTGTATTAACATCATTTTGGCAATAAATTCAAAATGATTGTAATCTCTGGTTCTCTCTCCTGTCACAGCTGTAATGTTGAGTGTAGCTTTCTTGTGTGGAATTGTGATTATGTCCACGAATTTAAGACTTGAAATAATATTTTCCATCATGTATTGACCAACATTTTCAATGTAGAATGAATATTGTAGGGAAAGTGTACCATGGACTAGTATACATGTGCTCATATCTGGGTTGGTGTTTTGTTTTGCCGCGATGTTCATTATGTGTTAACTGTAATCCTTAAGTTGTTAAATGAAGATCTGATTGATGCGGTATAAGAACTGTGATTGCTTCATTTAAATTTGCAAATTGGATTTTAATTTTCTTATATTATTGTTACATGCCTGTGAAAACTAAAAAAATTGCTATTGCTTTCACTTTTATATGAAATCATTTTGTTTTGCTTGTTTTACGCTGTACCTGTTTCCTTTCAAGTGATTTACCATCATATTATTTATAAGTGGACCTTCTGAATTTACTTCTTATTTGCAATCTTTAACATTTCGTGAGTGCACCTGTTTGTATAGATGTTTGTAACATGGTTATTGAGGTATAGCATTTTTCTGTAACCCTTGCAGAACATTCAACATGGAAAAGGAACCTCTTCACCATCAAATGTCAGTGGACAGAATCTTGCCATTGGATATGACGGATCCGGTTATGATAATACAGAGGTCATATCCTCATTGGTTGGAGGCCAAAGATTGAGCTCAAGTGGTCGTTCAGGTCGTACATCTTTTGCCCTTGGTGCTGAAAAGCTGCCTTCAACCTCAGCTGCTAGTAGGCTAGCAAGGTCCTCATCTCCTTTCAGAATTGGGCACCCTAGGACATTATCAACTTCAATTGAAGAGTTTGCAGTGGATAGTTCTCCCAGAAGGATCACTGAGAGAAGTTCAGTGTCTCATTCTGGTCTTGAAAATGGAACTGGAAGAGTTACGGGCAGAGACGAGGATATGAGTGACTGGCAGAGAAATCATTGGTCTGATGATACTGAACAGCGATTTGAAACTTCTGCTTATTACAGTTATAGCAATGGAGTTGAGCATCAAAGTCCCAGAGCTTTAATTGATGCCTATGGAAATGATAGAGGGAAAAGAATTTTGAACAATAAGCATCTAAAGGTTGAACACCTGGATATAAATGGCATAGACAGTAAAGTTGCTTCAAAGACATGGCAGAATACTGAGGAAGAGGAGTTTGATTGGGAGGATATGAGCCCAACTTTGCTATCATCTGATCCTCCTCGTGGAAGCTTTAGGACAAGACCTGGTCTTGGAGCACGTAGTGCAGCACCCTTGGAGGCTGATTTCAGGAGAAGCAGTTGGTCTACCCCCGCCCAGCTTTCCGTGGTTGATGACTCATCTGTTGCTCTTGAAGATGCTGTTCCCACCATTGGTGTATGGTTCCTCAAGTTGTCTGTGCTATTGCATTTGTTCTTTAGGCATTATTATTAGATAAACGAAGAGTACTGATGATATTGTTGCATGCGAAGCATTTTTATTTAGATATGCATGAACTGTACGATTTCATTATTCATGCTATAGTTTTGATCTATATATCCTATTAGGTTTGTAAGTAATTTGTCTGCTTTTGCAACCAGTTGAGAGCTTTCTATTGATTATATAATTTTATTATTGTTGCTGCTGTTATTTATTTATTTATTTATTTATTTTCCCTGGGTATGCTGTTATTTATTTATTGTTATTACTAGTATGATCATTTCACTTCACGTTGGTTCTTTTCAGCTATTCATATCCCTCCTTTTTCGAGACTGGTCAATTTTCCCATCCTTATTTTCAAGCTATTATTATCTCTTTCTTTGATTTTCTATGTTCTAAAGGTGTTTGTTTTTTAAATGTTGAAAAGTAAGAACTGTTTGTTTATGATTACAGAAAATAAATTTCCAAGTTTCTTACTTTGTCCTTGCATTTTGAAAATTTACTAATTTTAAATGTTGAAAAGTAAGAACTGTTTGTTTATGATACAGAAAATGAATTTCCATGTTCTTACTTTGTCCTTAAATTTTGAAAATTTACATGCAGTCTGGCCGTGGATCGACCAGTAAGATTGCTGGATTCCACAATGGAACTACACAAATGCTGGGTTCTCATTATCCTCAAGAAGCCTGGAATTTTCCTGGGAATCTCCCTTACTCTTCGCAACACCAGCTTAATACAAAAGGCAGTGGAAGGAATTTCCAAATGCCGTTTCCGGGTGGAATTGCTTCATCAGCTGGTGAGCAAAAGCCTTTAATTGACAGTTTTCCAGATGCCAGTGGGCAAGTGCATGGTTCCTTAACTATGGGGTCAAGAATTGGTTCATCAGGCCTCGACTTGTTGAACCCAGGGGCTAGGCCAGCTGCTGTACCAGCCTCAAAGAGGGCATGGCCTCCAGTAAATTTGGAAAAATCTCACCCACCCCCTTTGTTAAATAATCTTCCACCGCAGAAACAGTTAAGAAATCAGTTTGATTTGATGAATTCCAACAATGCATTTATGAATCAAAGTATAAACAAGACATTCTTTCCTGAGCAGCACTTGGATAATATTGAAAACAAGGTGATGAGCTCAGGACAGTTGCCTCAGTTTCCTAGTGATCAGGCTGGACCAATCCCTTTGAATATGAAAAACCCACTGCAAGTTATTCCTTTACAACCTCACTTTCGTGTATCTCAGGAGGTTAAGCAAAATTTGGGTCAGGCTGCTGGAGTTTCAATGCCATCATCTTTAATGGTTCCTCCTGTGAATCATGGATACACAACGCAAGGGCATGGTTCTGCTGTAAATGCTTTCTTATTGAATCCAATTCCTGCCGTTCATCCGTCCATGCCAATCCTTAATATCCCAAAAAGCTCCATGCATTTGCAAGGACCCTTGCCACCTCTTCCTCCAGGTCCCCCTCCTGCCTCATCACAAATGATACAACCCATCCTACAAAATCCAGGTCTTATTGTTCCTAACCCTCCTGCTGGGAATGCATTTTCGGGTTTGTTTAATTCTCTCGTGGCTCAAGGATTGATTTCATTGACAAAGGAAGCTCCTGTGCAGGTACGCATTTAGATAATATTCCTCCATACGCTACAACTTTCTAAAGAGTTGATTTCTTGATGCAAGGAATGATTGTATCTGAATTAAGTGTCTCAATGTTTAGGATTCTGTGGGACTTGAATTTGATCTTGAACTTCTCAAGGTGCGCCATGAGTCTGTAGTAACTGCTTTATATGCTGATCTCCCAAGGCAATGCAAAACTTGTGGGCTTCGGTTCAGAAGCCAAGACGAGCACAGCAGTCATATGGATTGGCATGTGACGAAGAACCGGATGTCCAAGAACCGTAAGCAGAAGCCTTCTCGTAAGTGGTTTCCAAGTATTGACCTGTGGCTTAGTGGTGCGGAGGCATTAGGGACTGATGCTATTCCTGTGTTTTTACCCACTGAGAATGTTGAGGAAAAAAAGGATGATGAAGAATTGGCTGTTCCTGCCGATGAGGAACAGAACGTTTGTGCGCTATGCGGAGAGCGTTTTGATGATTTTTATAGTGATGAGACTGAGGAATGGATGTACAAGGGGGCTGTCTACATGAATGCCCCCGATGGGTCAATGACAGGCATGGATAGGTCTCAGTTAGGTCCTATAGTGCATGCCAAATGCAGGTCCGAGTCTAGTGCGGTTTCCCCTGAAGGTTTTGGGCGCGATGAAGGGGTATGCATCTGTTCTCCTTTTACCTATCCATATTCTTTAGATATATCTTGTCCGATTTTGAATGATTATAAGATATGTATCCTTGAGCTTTATCATCACTGGAGAAACACAAAATGTCTTAACACGTACACGGTTGTCTATGTGTGCACTTCTGTATGTGTGATGCATATGCTGAAACAACGAGTTCTATGCTTAATTTCTTAAATACCTACATGGTTTGGCATGATTAGATTCAGTAAGTCTTGAATGAATATACCCACTTAGCGACATCTCATTATCCTTCTTTTCTTTTTCTTTCTCTGCCGACTGATTGAATGCCTTGCAAGAAAGCGAGGAAAAAAGAAGAAGGGGATGGGGAGCTCTTTATTTATTTATTTATTTTATTTTATTATTTTTCCAGCTTATGGCATGCGTGGTTGGGCAAAATGCTTTCTGTTCTTGTCTCATGTTGATAGAGGATGATAGTTTTGAATTTGAACGAGGATGGACCTGACTCTACATGGTTTAGGACATATTGCTTTAAATTTATATGGTATGCCATTGGAGACATATTTGGCACTGTAGTGGAGGATGGTTTTTGTAGTTGAAGCAACAAAAAATGATGTGCCTGATGTTTTCTTTTAGGAGCATGAGGGGTACCTATCTATTTATGTCAGTATCTAACCATCGAAGGTGTCTTATTCATTCGCCCTATTTTTTTTGTCATATTATGTAGTACTCGTCGTCATCTTCATCATCGCTATCGTCATCATCATCATCATGGTTTAGGACATATTGCTTTAAATTTATATGGATTCCGTTTGAGACGTGTTTCCATTTTAAGTGATGGCACTGTAGTGGAGGATGGTTTTCATAGTTGAAGCAACAAAAAATGATGTGCCTGATGTTTTCTTTTAGAAGCGTGAGGGGTACCTATCTATTTATGTCTATATCCAACCATCGAAGGTGTCTAATTCATTTGCCCTATATATATATATATTTTTGTCGTGTAATGTGTGGTGCTGGTCGTCGTCATCATCATCCTTGCCTTTTGTCACATATGAGTGGGTCGGCTGATGAATTGTCTCTATCATTTCTATTACACGCCATTTCACCAACTATGTTTAAGTTATTGAAGTCATTTTATAACAACTAGTCTTACTGTAACTTCTATATTATGTGGTAGTGGTGAATAGTATCTATATATGCTTTCAGTATTTGAAACTGTAGATGTCCAATTCATTTGCCTCAATTTTTGTCATAAGATGTATATGTCGATTCTGTGGTGGTTTAAATCTTTGCGTTTTCTATTTGAATCTTTGCGACTGCTGTCATCATACCACATATATCATATATTTGAACGCATTTAGTGTGTATGCTCGCAACTACAAGATTTGCTAGTACAAGTTTTTTTTATTCTTTTTCCTGTTGTCATATGCAGGGATATACTGAAGAGGGTAGTCAACGGAAACGCATGCGAAGTTAGCCTAATTAGATCAGCTTTTTCTAGGTCCTCAATGAATTTTTGAGTTGTTTTTTATATTAGTGGTATACTTTTAATTTTATGTAGTGTTGGAGCTGGTGGTGCCTTGGCGTCATGCCAGAATCATGTACATGTATAGTTGTACCATTGCACATTTTCTTCAGCAAAAAGGTTACAAATATTCCTTATCATTCTCCTCCTCTTTGTGATCAAGCTATGTGGAGGGATCCTAGATCCTTTATAGGCTTTTCGTTTTTACTGCTGGTAATAGGAATTTCTGTAGTTTATAGGATCCTTCAAAATATTTTATGAAATCGTTATTTAGGAGTGAGAAGTGTTGGAACAAATAGTCCGCGTGTAAGTTGATGAGTGGTTCTTGCAATATTTCCTGCCATTGTTTGTGTTTTGCAGGGAGGATACATTAGCAATAATAGTTCCTGCATGCAAGCACCGAGTCTGAGGCATCCTTAGCTGATGGGTGTATATATGAAAGCCAACTGTTTCGGAAAGCACCAGCTATTTCCCAGCTCCAGTCACATGACCTTCATCGAATCATCGGCCTTTTCCATTATTATTTTTTTTCAATTTTTCAATATTTTGATTTTTTTTGGGGACCAGAATCCAGGCTTTGAAATGTAATGTTTCTTTTAGTGATTTTGATGTACCGTATAATTTTCCATTTCCATTACCCTTCTTGGACAAACATTTTTAATGTTGAATATCTTCTTTACTGGTTTTGCAAATGGCAATGAGGTATCTACTTCAAAAGTAGTGGTATAGGATTTTAAGGACAGATTAATATATATTACTTCGTTAAAATTTCTGCATTCTGGATATTTGTGCCATGATTTTTTCTGTTCCCATGCAGTAGAGATCAATTGGGTAACTTGGTATGAAATGCATTAGTTATCTCACAAAATGCTTGTAGTTGGAGCTGAAGGTACAAAGGGACTCAAATCATCTCCTGCGAAACAGTATCTAATCCCGTCTAATTAATGATGTACCTTGCACAATATTTTGGTAATGTATATCACCAACTGGAGGGACAAGTTTACTGTTTAGCATGAAAGGATTTTGATTGAGTCCAAAGGGATGTTAGAAAATGGGATTTGGAGATATACTTGCGGGGTCCACGGTGGTGGTAGTTTAAGTGCCTCAAGCAACTACTGAACATTAATTACTGGACCAGACTAAAGTCACTAAATATGTGGTGAAGTGTTGACATGTTGTACAGGTAAGAAGTTATTGAAGAAACGACTACATTTTTCTTTTGTCCGTCGGATGTGATACATTATTTACAAACGTACCGTTTCAATCGATCCTATTTCATCAAATTCAGGATGTGATATGGTTTTGAAGGATGAAACTGGATATAGACTTTTTTACCATGGTTCAAACTTTTCTACACCTTGAATAATGCCTCTAGATTTGCACACAAATTCAATTCGATTCATCGCATTTATTCGTGTAAGATGGAAAAATTAAAAGCGAAGCAACCCTAACCACCACCATAATATATATCTCATGAAATCAATAAAAGCACACTGGTAAGTTCAACCACCATCATCCTCTATTTAACAATGTCAGTGTTAGAGATGAACAATAATAAACTTGGGAAGGAGGAGGAGAAGAAAAAGAGGCAGCAACAGCAGCAGCAGCAGCAGCAACAGCAGGGGGGACAACTGGCCTCTGCTGCTGATATTGGAATTTTTCCAATGTTAATTAATTAATGCATTTCATGCAATTCTGGCTATATATATATCTATACATACATATATATATATATCTGGTCTCACTGTTAAGAAAGGTGAATACACTGTTTTTCTTCAGATTTCTTCCGACAACTTATGAATTTCATGAAATAATTAATGACTTGCTGTGTTACAAAACAATACATTTCAATGCATGATACTATTGGTGTGCCAGATCCTTCCCGTCAGAAGATTTAATTTTTTGGTGGCTTTGATTCTCTCTCTCTCTCTCTCATATAATATTTGAAGGTGCCAGTGTACGGCCAGGACACCATCATCATGGTCCGAGCACTGCGAATTATGGTAATCCCCAAGCTCTAACTTCTTAGCATCAGTATCGTGGTTATGACAAATCCTTTTTTTAGAGCATATCTTAGTTTTAGTGAATAATGGAAATTCAATTTAATTAATCACTAAACTCTTCCTATTAGAAAATTCTTTACGAAGTGAAAAACCTACCGATAAATCGATTTGGATTTGATCATTCAGTGAAAATCCTCTCTACTAGTATTTTGTGGTACGCTGGAATGGTTAGAATCGACTCAGCAGCGAGTCTCACCTGTTGCTGGGTTGATCCCAACCATCTCCTACACATGAAGGATAAGTACTTCATGTTGCACTCAAACGGTTGGGATCTACCCAGTAATGGGTGTGGGTCTCACTTGTTGAGTTAATGCCAATCGTTCTCTTGCACATGAAACGCGAGTATTTTTTGCTGCTTTAGGATGGATAGGATTTACTAAACAGTGAATTTCACCTTGCTAGGTTGATCCTAACCATTCGATGCACGTGAGAGAATAACTTTATTAGAAAAGATTTAAATTTCGTTGACTATCAATTTAGCGCATTGTCTAATTAGTTTAAACTTTCCGCTTGTATAGCATTGCCGATTTCTATTTGTGTCCAAATATGATATCATCAGGCAATCCATTTTACTCTGCCGTGATGGCCTTTTATTTGTAGCTAGTTTATCCCATTTTCTTTGCCACAAACCTCCTAATTTAGTTGTTTACCTATCATCATGTGTCAACAAGGTTTGACACTATTTATAAAGTTCGAATCATATTCTTACACGTCCTGAGTTTGATTCTCACAAAACGCAAAAACATTTAAATTTAAATGATATATTTAAAATGTAAAAAAGAAAAGCGAAACTTTAACATACCCAACTCTCAATTTTGGTTACCATAAGACCAAATCATTAGTTTTGATATTTGTAGAGTCCTAACATCCAAGTCTTTGGAGTTCTTTCTAGCGAACAATTTTCATACAACAAAATCCTAACTCAAAAATAAAAACCTAACTAACGGAGAAAGGAATTTGATACATATCTCAACACCACCTCTCCCTTCATAAAGCATAAGGACTTTTATGGAAGATAAATTAAGATTGCAATGGATGAAGAAACAAAACGGACCATACTTTTGAAAAAATATATATATATATTATTACTTTTTTTTGGAAATTTATCCAAAAAAAAATGAAAAAGAATGTATAAAAGCCTAGGAAGACTCAAGAAGGAAACCAATAAACCAAACACCAGAAAAGGACAGAGCCAAAGTCAATATTCCTTTTAGTCTTAAGTCGTAAGGGTTAACCAATTTAGTTGATTTTCTTTCTCAATAATCTTGAACAGTTAGAATTTGAAAAAGGATCTGAAGGGATGACTTCTATCAAATCGTGGCGTCAACATTTAGATAATTGTCAATTTGGAGCAAAATTAAGTTCATAATATACCTCCAAAATTTAATTATTCAATAGTCATGTTCTTATTTGACTTTTCAATCCGTTTATAGTTTAATCAATATATTTAACTAAATGATTTGATTGTCGTGTCATGTCAGGTTTTGACTATTTGCTTCACATTTTATACTAAGTTATGTTGTGTTATTTGTTTAATGATCATAAGGTGTTCATGTTAAAAGTAATGACACTACCCAAATGCAGAAATACAAATTACCACCCTTACTTAGGAGATTTTTCATTATAAAGCTCAAATAAGGAAACGGGTACGATACTGATACGGCGATACAATATATCTAAAAAAAAATATAACACAGATATAGATACGTCAAAAAAATATAATGCAATATATATTTATAAATAATACAACATATATTTTTTTTGCCATTTTATCCATATAATCATAAATAAATCACTAATTTGAAATTTAGAGCTAAATGTTAGTTTTTATTTTTTATTATTTTTTCTTAATTTTATACTATATTTCTAATTAACCCATAATATATTTTAGATTGTATTGAATTTTATTTTTATAAAAAATAATCATAAAATCATATATTCTGAAAGTGTCTTACCTATATTCGAGAACAACATTCACGTGTTCGATACCAACACGACACGTTAAGAACAGTATTGACACGTTTACTCGATTTTTCATGATTCAATTTTCTAGCCTACTCTTTTAAGTTGTGCACGAGGGAAGGACACCCAGCAGCAACGTACACCACACAACCCCCTGGCCACCCTCAAATATATATTACTGCTCATTTATTGATTTCAACAACCATCTGTATTATTTTATTTTATTTTATTTATTTATTTTGTTTTTTTGGGTTAAAAGGTAAGCTAACAACCATCTGTTTCTTTTAAAGTTTCGAGTGAAGTTCAAAATAATTTTAGCTATCTATCATTTCTGCAATTAGTTTCACCAAAGAAAAACTCTTCTCAAAATGAAAAAACTAACGCCTGAACCAACAAAAAAAGGAAACTAATAATATACATAATGAGATGAGAATCATGAGATTATGGAAATTTATTTTAATCTATTTACTTTTTCAATTTGAATAGCATTTCTCTTCAAAACAAATATTCTTCTCTTCCCTCAATCTTCAACTTTTATTCTGTCTGCATGTGCACGCATTAATGGGATTTACTTCTGGAGGTTGGGGTGGTTGTTTCTCATTTTTTAAGCACTGATCTCATAATTCTCTCTTTTGTGTAGTTAAAGATAAATTTATTTCTTAGAATGTAAAATTTTATTATTTATTGTGCATCTTTTCGGTTACAGGCCATTTGTTGCTGTTCCGGCTAGTAATTGAAGAATACAAATACCATCCTTGTCCAAGGAAAAAAAAAAAAAAAACAAGAAGAGAAAATATAATGCTCATTAGCATTCCTTTTTATTTTCAATTCTTATAGACTTTTACATGGAAAAAAGGGTTAGATTTCAATATATCTTATTTTCATAGAACGTTCTATTTTCTTGTTCCTAAAATTTTTTGCAGTGCATTTGCATTAGTATGGATAATTGTGAAGGGAACATCCTATGCACGAGACTAGTCATTTTGATGCTAAATGACTAGTTGCATAACTCGGAGGCTTTGCTTAGCCAGCTTGCACGCTGTGCACCGAAACAACACAGTTTCAGTGCACAGGAGGGGACCTGGATTTGTAATTGGAATGGGAATAGTCTTATCCAAGGAGTAAGGGCAACCCTCCCATCATAACAAACCAAAAAAGAAAAGAAAAAATGGAATTTGCAAAGTAAAACTCTTTAAAAAACAGATAAATGTGAATAGCAAAAACCTAATTTGAAAGGAAAACAAAAGTAAAATGTTCCATATATGTGAAAAGGTCTTGGTTAATTTACTTCATCATTGATTATCAAAGTCAATACCCGAACCTATTTTACCCCTTGCATGGTGTCGAAATGCTTTCTTTGCTGCTACTTTTTGCTCAAACAAACACCACAAAGGCAAGGCTTACCTAAGGTGCGTTCTTGACTTCTTCCCTTTATTTTCCATCCCAAAGTAAACACAACCACCCTTCTTCTTCTCTTCTCTTCTCTTCTCTTCCTTCATGTCTCACTGCAAATAAAAAATTAAATGAATCTATATAAGAGGGAAATCATGAACATATTTTGCTATCCAAACACATTGTGGTTATGAAATCATGAATATTCAAGGAAAATCCTCAAAACAAACACCCCCCGAATTGTTTATGTTTGAAAGAAATAAGACCAATGTGCTTGTTTGGTTAGTTTGACCTATGTGATGTATACCATAAGCATAAACTTATAAAATCTGATTGAGTTTGAAGAATGCTCACCATATATAAGATTTCTTGGTCATGCATTGTCACACAATAAGGCACCTTTGATCCTTTCAACTGTGCACTTGATGAGACTGTTAACAGTTGCCACTGATCCGAGAGAGAGCTTCGCCGTTGGCACTGAATCAACTAAGATCTGAAATGCAACGGTTAGCAGCGATCCACCAGTCCCAACCTCAAAAATCTTCCCTCCGTGACTTCCAGTCTGCCCATCAGGAAGTATAGCAAAACCCGATGGCAGGAGGGCGACGTAATCCGGATCCCCACCACTTAAGACCACATTCATGGCCACAATGTCAACAGGAGCATATATAACATAAGAGCCGGTGGAATCAACGCAACTCTCTTGTAGTATCAGCATGTTGCTCTGGCTTGAATTCGCACTCTACAGAGTATTTTGACATTATAAGACGATTTAGTTTCGTTGACAACAGGCAATTTCTGATTATGACACACACAAACACAAACACGCATGAATTTAGTGTATACAACTTACATTGACACGCAGAAGAGATACACAGTTCCCTGGATCGCGACCATTTGCAATATGCGCCATTTCTTGAATTAGGCCACCATTTGAAAGGATATCCCACTGCATTATATATGCAAGATAAAATCATTATCTTACAAAATAACTATGATATTATTAAATTGTACGACTTCTTATAAAATCAGGTCAATTTTTGCAACATAACACAAGTATAGACTTAATCAAGGAGCTAGGTCTAAAGTTGGACTTAATTCTGAAGGCATTTTTGCTTGAAGCTAATATACAATTTCTGAATTTCATATGTTTGTTGTCAGATGTTGCAGTCAATGTTCATTTTGTATGCTCTGCATATAATTTACTGCATCTATGCTTGTGGTTTTGTTTTCAAAAGGACATAGGGTTTCCAAGAACAGTGGTAACTTCTAAATTGGAAGGTTTTGAATTCTCAGGGACATCCATCTATTAATTTTCTGTTATGTTAAGAAAAAAGATAATGTAATGCAGGTGTGCTTTAGAACTGGAAGTACCTCACTTCGAGAGTTCTCATCGCGAAGAAAATCAAAAACTCTCTTAGGTGGAACCGGTATCCAGAATGAAGTTGCAGCGCTTAGCACGATACCAGGAGGCCTGCCTGGATCATCCATACTCTTTCTGGTCATGACCCTTACATCATCGGCACCACTTCCTGACAATGTTGTCCATGTGTGAGCAGTAGAAGCACCAACGCCGCTGCAAAAGCTCATCACCATCCTCTCAGCCAGCTTCAACATGCTCTTCCTCCCTTCTGAATTTGTTATCACTGTCCAGCAAGCAAAAAGTCACTAAGAAGCCGAAGAATAGTTGATGTTCACAGAATTAAGAACTCTGTGCTACAATTTTGTGCAAAGAGAAAATTGAATTTAAGTAATGTGTTACCTCCAACATCCCCTGGAATGTTATTAGCCATTACACTAGCAAGACGTTCACATTGTCGATCTAATGTAGCCACCCAACGCTTTGCCCCAAAGGCGAGACCTGAGTTTACTAGTTGTCTGTATATGTTATGAACTGCTCTATCATCCACTTCTAAATGTTCCACCCAAATGACCTACGGAATTGTAGAACAATGAGAGCAATTGTTAAGAAATTGCATGGTATCTTCTACTATGAGTAAGTGAAATGTAGAAGAAATTAGTGAATTGTCACCTTTGAGTAGCCATTTGGCAGTTCTTGAATTAAGCAACCGGATGGCCTTCTTCTGCATCGCGACATTGGACTAGGGCATAGATTGTCCAAGGATGCATCCACCACTGCCCAAGTCCCATCAGCATGCTGCTTACAGTACCTTACGAAATAGTTTTCACGAGTTGGGACAAGCGGTGTAGGGACCTGGAACTCTGCTGTCATCTTAATATAATCACAACGCGCGTTAGGAATGTTTCTCAAAGCTAATTAGTGCATAATTATTGAATTGAATCAAGAATTTAGAATTGACAAATTATTCAAGTATTTGTTTATTACCACTTGGAAAGCTCCATTGTAGTTCCCTGCTACTCCAGTTGACAGGACCTCCAACGTCATTGCTCTTGACACAATACTAGAAAACACATTTGACCATTGATTCTGAAAACCACCAAACATTCTCAAGTTAAGAACATGGTTCCAAAAGATTAGTAATTAAACAGGTCTTGAAATTTTAAAAAATAAGCCTACCACATCCATAAGAATCTCCACAAGATTGATATGGTTCATTATAACAATTGCAGATTCCCGCGAAGCTTCAGATTTTAACCCCAAGGGCTTTGGTCCGAGTCCTCGCGGGAATGTCCTCAAGTACTCATCCTCACTTAAGCTCTCTGTAGCGCTGTCAGGGCTACGCATCCATAAGGGCTCCCCTGCTTGTGTCATAGTGATTAATTCCTCCATTGCAGCCACAGCAAGCTCAATGATCATTGGCTTGTCTGCCTCAGTAGGGCCAGTTACTGACCTAAGAAGATCACCAGCTCCATACATCTCTCCTAACATGCTTGATTGTAGGCCAAAATTCGCGACCCCAAGATCAAGTGATCGCGATGGTCCATGAGAAGAGAGATGAGTCTGTCCAAGCACAGGCTTACCAACATATTTCGCGGCAATTGAAGATATCCTGTCAATCTAAAAACATAGAATATATATGATTAGTCCTGCATGTGATTTGACTGAGGCTATGACATTAAATGGAGAATAATGGAAACATAGGATTCATCCCCAAGACTTAATTGTTGTTATTGTAATATATATGATTATACCAGCTTCTTTCTTCGTTAAAACAGTATAGAGATACAATATCTATGTATATATACTGTGTCTCCTCCAGTTACCTCTTCTCTTAAGCGAGAATTCTCTATCCTCAAGTGCTGCTCATCGAATGACATCTCGCCAATAGAAGCAGGGCCTCCACAGTTGGGACAAGTAGCATTAGTCAGGGCTTCTTTGTACCTTATGTTATCTGCACGAAGCTTTTCGTTCTCAGTTCTCAGCTGAGTGTTCTCATGGCGTTCATGTTGAGTCTGTGCACAGTTTCCCCATCATCTAAGTTTAGTACAGCATATATAGCTACACTATGAACTAAAAAAAAAAAAAAAAAAAAAAGGTTCGAAAGTTTGTTTGGTTGACAATTTTATGTAAAAAAAACCAAGTTAAATAAATGTAACTTAATTTAGATAACAATGTTTTTGTAGTTATTGAAAACATTATCAGTTTCCATAGAACAGAAAAGTGAAAACACATTTTTTTTTTTTTTTTGGTCAAAAAAAGCTAGTATGCACAAGATAGAATATTAAAATGCGGAGGTTAAAGTGTTGTTTGATAAAACTGTAAATTAAATACTGAAAATTTTAAATACCCGCTTACCTTTTAAAGTGATATTCAAATAACATTTTCAAATTTCAAATGCGCTTAATTAATTAGATTATCAAACAACACCAAGGCCATGCTAGATTAAAGTGCTTGAAATGCATGCTATATATATAGTATAAACGTTACCTTCATCTGTGTGCGTTTGTTTTGGAACCAAAACTTAATTTGCAAAGGCTCTAACCCTAATCGACGGCCAAGATCCTTCCTTTGCTTATCATCTGGGTGAGGGCATTCTTTAAAGAAACTGTAACAAAATTTAAAACCCAATTAGTATCAAATCACTAGTAAGGATAGCACAAGCTTATGAGGTCTCATTTTTCACACACAAATACTCAAAAGAGAGGTACAAAATGATGCTTACGCTTCCATTTCCTGGATTTGATGCTGTGTGTGCCGGTGGTACCGCTTCTTTTTGGATTGATGGTTCGGATCTTGATCGTCACCAGAGGGGGCTTCCATGATATCAGTGACTGATTTGCTCTCGAATTCATCGTCTCTGATCATATCTATCTCATTTTCCGGTGTTTTGTGGGTGATATCCAGTATATGACGGTGACTGTCAAACATGTTTGGTTGAAACATATTGACTGATACTTGGGGTTTGTTTCCAAAGCTATGGCTTTCTAATCTATCAACCAGAATGAATTGAAAGTAAGAACACCATTAAGCTAAACACATATCAAACAATGGACAAATGCAAAAATCACAATAAATTAAAGTAGAAATCCCAGGTAATAATTAGTTATAATCTTCACATAAAGAAGTGTATATGCATATCTATGGTAATACTTAATACCCTAGCTTATGATCAAAGAGTTTACAAATGCATTTTGTACAAACAAAAAAAAAAAGAAAAAAAAGAAAAAGAAAAAAAAGAGATAGATAGATAGAAGAGAGAAGTGGTCATATATGTACGGTACATTTAAAAGATGATAGGACAAGGTCCTATGTAACATCTTAAACAGTCCATGAAAATGAATAAAGAGAGAAGAACCCTAAAAAAAAAAAATTTGTGTTCATTGAGTTCTAACCTGATTGAGAATTAGCTATGTAGACAAACCAAATCCAAGAAATTTTCCTTTGCTTTCGAGCATCTCAGACGCCGTAGAAATACATCAGCTGGCATACCTCACTCACCCAAAACCCTAAAAGTTGCACATCTCCCACACAGACAAACCCTAAAAAGAGTCTCTCTCTAAAGAGTAGTTTCTCTCTCTTGGGTGAGGTTTTCAATTTGGTTTTGGTCTCTTGGAGTGAGAGACAGGTTATGGGTTGAGAGTTTAATTAGATTCTCTTACCTATCTGGCAGTGTCTGAGCAAACTAATAAGATGATTACAAGTAACAACAAACCAGATACTTACCTAAAAAAACAAAAGAAAAAAGAAAAGAAAAAAACAGATAGAAATGACTACGGTTTTGGGCTTAATCCAAACCAGATTCTATGTCCAGTCTGTCTCAACGTGACCAGATTGAGAAATATTAGATGGAAAGAGTTGACTCTCACACACACATACACACTGTGTGAAATGGTCTTTGACACCACCAATTTCAAACAAGTTGTTTTACTTAGAAAGCCCACGGAAATCACGGTGATGAGTCAAACCCCACCCTTTCTCTTCCTCCCATCTCTCTGCAAAATGTAAAACAAAAATTTAAAACATCATATATATATGTGTGTGTGTGTCTGAGTGTTCATATATATTAGTATAACTATCTAACTTTTAAAACTGTAGACAAATGAAGGGTTTTATATAGGTAGAGTAGTTCAAATTCTCTTGGGGCCATCCGGGAATTTTCCGGGTAATTGCCCGGTGTGTGACAGTGTGTGACAGACTGCATATGTCCGGTGATGAGTTATGGGGCGCTCGTGCCAGACACCACCATCTTGGACAAATATATATATATAGGTAGAGTAGCTTACTGGTGCTAAAGCTCTTACAAAAGCAAGACAGCTCTTCTTTTGAAGTTATTTGATAAGTCAAATGAGAGAAGGCTCAGATCTGGTTTTGAGACTAAAGGGTCATCGGAAAACCACTTGTTGGAGGCAAAAAGGAGGATTCAAGGCGGTATTGACCGAGACCTCTTTTGTGAAAAGAACTTGAGAAGAATAGTGAGATGAGAATGAGAGAGAAAGAAACGTACGAGGAAAAAGAGGATATAGAATCAAAGATGGGGAGAGAGAGGGAAGAAGGGAAAGGGAAGAGAGGGATGAAGATGTGGGAGGGGGAGGAGTTATTGCAGAGCGTATAGAGAGGGTGCAATCGCATTTATGGAGGCTGGTGGTGTTATTGCTGAGGAGAGAGAACGTTGACATCTAATGTTTAAATTCCTTCCATGGGTGTATGGTGAAACGACTTATATGCCTTCTTAACTACTCACCTTTCACTCACTCTGTTTTATTATTATTATTATTATTATTTATTTTTTATAATTGGATTAATTTTTCAAAACTTTATTATATATTTTCCCTCTGCAACAAAATATGTATCTCTTTGTTTACGTTATAAACACATTAATTTATCAGTGTATGTATAAGGGGTAAAAAAATAAATCCCCAAAAACTATGAAATTTGTGCATGTAACTTTTTTAATGCTAAGTAAATATAACAAGGATCATTTGATTCACATCGGATTCAAATAAAAAAATGATTGGATATAAATGGATAGATATGCAGCATTACTCAACATCTTGAGATTTTGAATAAAAATGGACAGATGCCTACCCGTTATAATTGGTATCAAAGTCAGACTCATTCTTTGATCCGATGTTATGTTAAGCGCCCGACTTGAAAGGAGCCGCAACGAGGACATTGCGAGTATTGGTAAATTTCAAAAAATAATAATAATAATAATAATAATAAAGGGTAATAAACTTCATGAAATCTTTTAACTTTTCAAAGAACCATCAAAGTTACTTCATGAAATCTTTTAACTTTTCAAAGAACCATCAAAGTTACTTCTTTCAAGATAGTGCTATGTGACATTAACCTACTTTCCCTGTGTGATTGAAATCAATTTTGTTATTTCACAATCTAATAACATATTTATTACCGAATAAGATACACTGATTACTTTTATTTATAATGAGTTTTATTTAATATTACAGAGATTATACAATTGTTTAAAATAATACAAAGGAGTTTTATGATTTTACCCCTCCCTATATATAATGCATGTGTCTATCAATTACGCTAATACTAATTCTTAAGCACCAAATTATGATTCATTTTGAAGACCTTTCTGTTACAACTAGGAAGAAAGGTGCATGTTCTCACAAATTATTTTTTTAATAAATTAAGAAATCATATGTAAATACGTTCATTGGTAAATCTACTTAATTTGATTCTTTATTAATTATTAATGAAATTACTAGTACGAACTATTAGTGCAAAAATTCTGTGACACTGCATGTTACATATCATTTGAAAATTTATAGAGTTTTAATTTCTTGAATATATAATTAACAGCAATATATAAAATGCATGAATGCATAACTATATATTCAAGAAAACTCTATAAATTTTGCTAGATCTGTAGTATGAATAGCTGGATGCATGGGATCAATATGGAACGGAAAGGACACGTACACACACGCATATATATGTATGTGTGTGTGTGTGTGTGTATATATATATATGTGGGTAAAGTGCAAAACCCCATTTATATATATATATAAAAAAATGTGCAAAAAATAATTAATTTTATTTAATATGTGCTTATAAATCTTTATAATTTGAAAATCTATTGCAAATTGTTCCCTAATCATCAATTTTGACCAATTTTTTTTCATAAAAATTCCAAAATACTACCTCGTCTCTTATTAGTTGTCCATTTTTTGTTTTATAACTTTTTGAAGGGACATGCAATTAATACATTGTCCCCTTTTCAAATTACTAAATTGTCCTTTAAACATTAAATATATATAACACCAATGTTTGAAATTTTTTAAAAAGATAAAGGACAATGATAGAAATATAGTGAAAAGATGCTTTGACTTTTCAAGGAGGACAACTAATTTGGGATATGTAAAAAGAGAAAATGGACTATTAATAAGGGACGGAGGGAGTATCCTTTATGGTGTGTTTGGGGGTATGAAATTGGATAATTGGAATTGAAATTGGTACAATTTAAGGAAAACAACTAAGAAAATTGAACCAAAATATCCTTAAATTCCATCCGTTCCAATTTCAATGCTCCAATCTGAAAATTTCATCCGTTCCATTTCCAATTCTCCAATCTCATTTAGTTGAACATACCCTAAGAGCATTTTAGGTATTCGAATCTTCAATTTTTAATAAAAATTCCAAAAATTTCAAAATTTTTGTATAAACCCCAAAATACCCCCAAGTCCAAAATTTTTTATAAAAATCATATATATTTATAAATCAGTTTTTTTTTTTTTTTTTTTAATGCTATTTTGAGGGCCTTTTAAGTATTTTAGTTTTAAAATTGAAGAATTATCCTAATTAATCAATTTAAAAAATGTAGGTTTTTTGAACACCAGATGAATATTTATTTGATCATTGTGTATAGGAGCTGCACTTTCCCATATAAATTTATATCCAGATTGTGTAATCCTTATTTGATACACAAATTTGATTCACTAAAGTGGCTAATTTGTCTGTTCTTTGGGAAGGCAAACGTAATTTGATTAGTTTGAGGACGAAAAGTAAATTTTAAATACGTAAATCTCCTAATAAGAAACAATTAAATTTGTACAATTTGGAAAATTGAATCAATTAATAATATCCACATATGACCTGATCTTTTTCCTTATTTGAGATGCATGTTACAGTATATTTATTGAAGAAGTTAACGGTCCTTTGAGCAATCTACGCACGCTCATGCACGAGTAATAACACGCACGCGCAGATATACCATGTAAGGAGAGAACACTAGATGATTTATTTTTTATAAGTTAAACACAAAGACGTTAAATTGATAATATTATAAAAACTGTATATTAATTCAAATGAGACCGTTCTTTTGAGGCAGATAAAAATAAAAAATGGACACTTATGTTGGAGTGCACATAGATAAAATTGACTAAATTTATGAGTAAAATTAATTCTATTCAATCTGTGAAATATTAGATTGGATTGAAATGGTCATGTAAGATTGAGATAAAATAATCCATAATTGTCCATTCTCTAGGTTTTTTTTTTTTTAAATCGTGGATGTTCGGGCCAGCTTATGCACACCTCGACTAATTCCACGAAGTCCTGAAATTAACGATCGTGCAAGCCTCCAGTTGCACTGAGGAGATTCGAACTGATGATCATTGGGAACAAATCCAAAACCTGACCAACTGAGCCACCTTGCAGGGTTGTCCATCCTCTAATTTGGACAGTCTATAATTTTGCAAATGAATTGAAATCTATGGTACAACTACTGTAACAATAAGATATCAACATGAATTACCGGAAGAAAAAAAAATTATATATATATATATATATATTAATATCTTACTTGTGAAACAAGTAAAAGAAATTCAACTTGTAGAACATTAAAGGATGTAGAGAACAATTGAGGTAAAGGAGACAATTTATATATATATTACATAGGTAATAAATCGGATTAGATTGGTTTTTTTTAAGACCTAAATTCATGAACTGACTCAATACATACAAATGACTTATTAATAAATCCGTCACAGAATTAATGAACTAAAAGATCAATTCGAGTCAAACGAATTGAATTATATGGAATTTACGGATCAAATGAACGGGTACCTGGAAAACCCGAGTGGGGCAAGGCCCAGAAGACACCAAAAAACAAGGGTAGCTAAGCTAGGGCAAGTCCACGGAAGGCCCACAACAAAGTAAGAAATTGAAGCACCCAAGCCAATAGACAACAACCCCTCGCATCGCAACTATGGACAGCCCCAGCGACGACTACACAACCAGAAGATTGTTGTGGCTCCAAGCTCCTCCGTACCAGTGTGGCCCACAATTTAAATAGTGGACATTAAAGTTACAGCCGCTTAATGTTCCTCCTAATTTTGAGCAATTATTTGACATCGCCATCAAATATTTTGATCCTTACATTTAAGTCAAAAAAGATTATCTCAAACTGTTGTGGGAGCCAGCATTTGTTCATATTATATATATAATATTGATAAAAAAATAATTTCATAGTGCTCTTTAAGTGGTGGATCCAAGTTATGTAATATTTAAAAGGGCCTAAATTAAAATAAATTATTTTTTAATTGATTAACCCGACTTATATATGTATATATAGAGAAATGATAGGTCTTTTGATCTCAATTGTTGATTCTTCTTTCGAATACAACGTGATTAGGAATAAGTTAAAGAGAAAAAAATGTGAGTGAAGTAAAGGAATTACTGAATTGTGTATATAAGACATACATATACTCTCTCTGTGTATTTATAAGACAGTCTCTATATTAATACATAAGGTATGTAAATACACACAAGTCCATATTTTCTTTTCTCGCTTAACTTGATCTGTGTTAGCATTTCAATCCAATATAGAAAGCAATAATCAGATGTTCCAACTCGTTAGAATTTAGGAAACACGTTGAAGCTTTAATGGAGATTTGACTACGTTTCAAGATTAGGGAAAGAGAGAGACAACTTCAAAAGTATTCTCAAATGGGTTTTAATTTGAGCCCAGTCAACTCGTTAAAAATGGGTTGATACACCTTTTAATTTAATTTAATTTTTAGTACATGTGTCAAAATTTTGATGGAACACATCACTGAGCAGAAGGAAATTTCTAGTTATTTGGTAGGAGGCAAATATTGTCCTTCACAAAAATATATTAATATATTATAAAAAAACATAAACATTAATTATAATTTTAAGAGGTTGGCTCTAGAGGTACATTCTTATAAAATGTCATACTTAAGATTAGACTCTTTAGGAGTCACGTCTGCCGGTAAAAACTCGAACTTCGTTCAATTCAAGTGGAGATGACATTTTGAACAGCTATTTAAGAGTCACGTTCTGTTAGTAAAAACTCGAGTTTCGTTCAACTCAAGTGGAGATGACATTTTGCACAGCTGTTGAACAATATGGGTCGACTAAGTGGAACGATATGGTGTGCTTCTATCTTGCTTTGGTTTGAAAAAAAGGCTGTGTGTTACTTTACCCAAAATAGTTATATTTACTTAGTTCAATTTTGTTTTGTTGGGTCCTAATTAATGGGAAATATGAAATCCAAAAGTTATCCTACCTTTTTCCTATCTTTTCTCAACAACTAAATAACATAACGATAGAAAAGTGTTGCCACTATTAGCCGTATATATAATTAATAAGTACAACGAATTTTCATGTGTTGTGCTCGTATTTAATATCTGTATTTGAACCGGGAATTTTCGAGCTCAAATGTTTCAATTAAGAATGTTAATGGCACAAGACAAAAGGTAGAAGAAATATGTCTGGTTTATATTGAACCAATTATTAGGTCAACTTTTTTATATGTAACTAGAGTGGGACCAGTGTGCTATGCATCTCAATTATTGTTATGAAAATACATTATTTGTTTTGGTAGTTAAGTGTTTAATTATACATAATAAATTTGTACATTTACATATGTATTTTTAATTATAACAACTAATAATTAAAAAATAATAATTATTATTTACCATGATATACGGGCTTGGTTTCTTAGAAAATACTTAATAAACTCAAATAGAGTATTAAGTTATAAAATAATATTTAGATCCTTACCAGTGAGTATATATATCGTCCTCATTATTGATGTGGATCAATAACAATAAAAATATATTTTTTTCATTACTAAATTAAAGATGATGTATGTAACTATCATTTCTCATTTGATAAGTTTTGATAAGTGAGTATATATACCTTACTATCTTTGATTTGGTAATTTAAAAAAATATATTCATTTGTTATTGGTTCACATCAACAATAAGGACAATGTATAACCTCACTAGTGAGACCTAAGTATTGTCCAAATAATAATTACTAAAGGCTCAATTGTAGTCTACTAAATTTACACATAATATGCTAATACTTAGACTTGTTAGACCATGTTCCTCTAGTATGGATTCTCTTGCATGACAATTAAGATTAATATTATTATTATTTTTTATAATTGGAGTATTATGATTAATCTACAACGTTTGTGTAAAGCGCCCCAACACGGATCAGGTAAAACTCAGACTATGTCTACGAGCATGGCTCCTTATCTACACTTAGGACGAATTGATTCTAAAACCTGATGCTTCATGAGGTATCAGGCCCCAAGGCCCAAGCCTTTTTTAACTAGGTCATCCCTTTGGAATTTTACAAATTGAAATCAACTGTTCTTAAAATTAATCATAAATCACTTGTTATGATGATTAAGATTGTTGATTAAATCAATCAACAAATAAATTAATAAAGAACGCTATTATTTGTTGTGACTGTCGACAATCTCTTGTAATTGAGTCGCAACAAATTTAATTTCCCGCAATGAAATGTAGGCTCATCCTTGAACTCAATTAAAGCAAAAGTTTCGCAGTGCCTAAATGCAGTGAACATCATTGGTCATAAATCATAATTAAAGATTGGGCCAATCTTATCTTCTTTTAAGTAATATATGAATATGACTTAAAACATATTTATTATTTATATTTGTTGTGAATAAATAAAATCAGGAAGTTGATGTGAACAGTCAATGAACAAAACTCTGGTTACATATATTTTTGTCACTGCTTTTATAGTTCGTGAAGTCACTTTCAAGATATAACTAGCTAAATTAATTTCGTTACGGTGATTAATGAAAAATATGATAAATTTGTTGTTGTTGTTATGGTTGGACCACCAGGAATGTATGCAATATTCTGGTAGGGTTCCAAATTTATGTGAAATTAACAACACCATCATCATCGACCTCCCAATTCCACAACCAAAATAATTGTGCCTGGTTTTTTTTAATGAAGATTAGAGAAATTTAATTTTATGAACCAGATGACGTTGATAACTAATAATTAAAGCAAGACTATTTAAGTCGGTGCACGGTTGTATCTAAGAAATCGTTCATTACGTCAATAACACATCATTTGTTTTTTTGTCTAGTTGGAGAATAAAAAGACAAACAAAAATTGTCACAATTATATACATGGCCATATGTGATTGGTCAGGACCATATAAAATTTTTTCACACAACTAACATGAAATATATATATATATATGTGTGTGTGAATAATGCAGAATCTCAAGTTTTGAACACAAAATTATGTGTTATTTTATTTATTTACTTATTGGTGCTGGGAAGGATATGAGCTAAGAAAAAACAAAACATTTTCTAGCAAAAGAGAAAATACATGGGAAAATTTTCGCTGCCATAACATTAAATTGATACAAACAAGAATTTGGATCTTGTGTATATATGACATACTAATTAAATTATATTGTCTGAGTTTTCAATGTTCACCACCTAATTGAACCCATAAATGAGGACATGTCTTGTCCTCTGACAAACACCAAATGGACTAATTTGAAAGCTACATATGCTAAGCTTTGAATAAATTTTACCATTTATGTATTCTTGCTCACAAATTGTTTGCTTTACAATGATCAATATGTGATCAATCAAGTAACAAATTTATGCTACGATATTACGTCAGGAAATAAATAAAAATAATAATTATAAAAATCTGATATTGTTTAGAGAAGGAAAAGATCAATACTTGAATTTTGAACTGCATACAGAAGTGGCATTGTTTTCGTGGACAAACACAGAGATGTCACAGGTGCTATAGCTTGTGGCCTTTATCTTGATGAACTTCATCACAATAGCTTTGCCATGCAAGGTGGTCGATGAAGTAAAATTCAAGCACCCTGCATTGTAATCACCCGAAAAATTCGAATCCAAAACCAGCTTCTCCCCTTCAATCAGCACACTGGTGCTTACGTTATGCTTGCCGCGAGATGGAATGGTGTCCTCTGCAATCGGAGCATCAGCTACATGTTTCCCGCGATAAGTTATGTGAGTCGTACTATTTTGGTACTTGAAGCTCCCGTAGTTGGGATTATCAATCTCCACCTCAACCCCCAATGACACATTTAGCTGAAATATTGGAAAAATAATTAACCTAACATATTCGAGAGTAACACCCTCAGTGATGATTTTCGGTTCCTTGGGCTTTAAAATGGTGAGAAACAGGACAATTGTAACTACGAGAAGGATGATTGTGAGAAGTACAGTAACACCACAACACCATCTTAGGCCTCTCTTAGACCGGTTACTAAGCGCCATGATGATTTTTCCGCGGTTGGGTTTTTGAGAATTGGGAGACTTGGGGAATGAAAATTTTGTAAATTGTTTCTGGCAAGCATATATAGATTAAATTTACTAGTGTTCAATGTGTGTAGATTAATTATAAATAAACAAAAAAAATCCAAGAGGGTGATTGTTTCAAGATGGTGTTACTCAGAGTAGGACAGAGAGGACAGTTGTTTTTATATCTGGATGATGAGATTGTTGTTTTGTTCTACTTTGTAGTTTGTTATGGAGATCAAAGCAATGGAGGAGTTTTTTTTTTTAATTAATCATTTGAAGACGGTTATGATCCTTGTTTTTGTAAATATTCGAAGTTTGTTTGGTTTCTCAGATTTTGCTGGAATTGTTTAAGACTTTCTGTCCTGCTATGGCCACTGTGGTTAGTTGTCAATATTGTCAAGAGACTTTGAGTTTATTTTGAATTTAAATTTAAGTTGAAAACAACTTTTTTAGATCATTATCGATGGGTATTAGACTAAATGGAATGATCTTTCCTTTTCCTTGAAAGGTTAACTTTCGAAGAATAATATTGTGAGTGTGCACGCGTTTACCTCGTCTAGTTATTTACAACAGAATCAGTAAAATAGGGCATTGTGTACACATCATCTAGTTATTCACAACAAAACCAATAAAATGGGCCTTCCCAAACCAACTAGCTTCTAGCAGCAGCAAGTTCTTTAAAAATGATAAAAATACCCATGTTAAGAATCGGCCATAACCGATTTCGTTACGTTACATGATGCTATTTTGATAGGTTAGGTGACACCCAAAAATGATCTGGCACGTACTCCAATATTCTCCATGATTGGATAGAGGACAACTTTTTATGAGCTGACAATTTAACTTTTTTGCACTGGAGGAAGTTCGATCGATCGAACCTTGACCTTGGATCGATCGAATACGGCTGAGATCTATCGAATTGAAGCTGGATTGATCCTCTATGGCAGCGCCTTTTTAGATAAAAACAAATCTAAGATATTTTGAAGATATTTTTAGGAAAAAGGACAAAAGCGGTTGGCAGGGTGGTACATCTGGATAAGATCAATCATTTGGATAAGTACAAGATAGTTCGATCGATCAGAGAATGAAGTTGGATCGATCGAACTTTGAGATCTTTGAATAGGGACAAACATGGCTCAGACCCATCTTGAAATGCTGAGATCGATGAAAGTTGGATCGATCGAACTTTTCTTAAGATCAATCGAAGTTGCTGAAATTCCACCATTTGCTTCATTTTGCTTTACTTTGCTTCTTTTTTTTATTCATCCCAAAATTGCTTCATTTCTACTCTTATTTGGCTGAGTTAGCTTATTTTAGGGATAAGTACCTGAAAATGGAAATAACATGAAATCAATGTAAAGCGGGAAAATAAGATAGATAAAGGTTCTAGAATACTTAAGATTAAGGGGTTTAAGTGCACACTTTTCAGCGCTCATCACACTCCTAAACTTAAATATTGCTAGTCCCTAGCAATAAATTAGAAAGTAAAGGAATGTAATGAATAACTAAACAACTATAAACTAGAAAGCAATAAATGGATAACGCCACTTTCGTAGGGAACACGATTGCACTTAGCATATGTAACAAGCCTTTTAAACCCCTAAGTTACCCTTAGTGGACGAGTGAAGTCTCGTGAAGGTTTCCAGAAATGATACCCACAAACATTAAACTCATTCTTTCAAAAGAGGCACTAATATTGCAAACAAGCATTGGGAGAAAACTACATCAAGTATGCAATGTTTCAACCTTTTCCAAGCAATCTCTTAAAATCTCAACATCAAGCAAGCAAGTTTGGTCCTCCACACATCAAGAAAATGATAATGAAAATCAAAACAACTCTAGAATCCTTTTTGAGTGGACCGACATCAAATATGTTGTTATCTTAGCCAACTAAAGAAATGATCACATTTTTACCCTTAAACTAGCACACAAATCTAGTACCGATCATCAAGACAAAAAGTGGACCTTTTATTAAAGCTTTATTGTTCTAAAAAGCTTATTCTTTTCACTCGATTTATTTATTTATTTTATAGGATCAAAGATGGAAGTATGGTGCAATGTGTTGATCTATTAAGCTTTCTAACGATCCATGAGGTAGAGCGTTAGGTCAATAACTTCCAAACCAGACAGCTTTAGGGCACTAGGTTTTCAAACACCCCTAAGGATTTACAAACTCAAATCAACTAGGTTACAAATCAAGACAACTTCCATCTAATCATTTCCTACTTCTTACCTTTTGGGAGAAGTCCTCACTTTTTTTTTATTACTTTTGCAACTTTTTTATTTTTTTATTTTTATTTTTTTAAAGCAAGTTCAATTATTAACCTAGAGTTTGGGCCCTCCACCTTTCGGCGCGAGAAATTCAGTGCTTGATGAGACTAGAATCCCAGCTACTTAGTGAAAAGGGTTTGTTATCCACCTTTATCAAGAATGAAAACTTTCAATGCACTACTAGCCCAATTGGGATATAACCAATTCAATAATCAACAAAGCATGTACCCCATAAGTGAATGCTAGTGTGCGCATGTGGTAATGTAGAATACTAGAGTGAATCTCAAAATAATCACAAAATCAAGATGATGTGAACCACATGTGCAAGCATGATATCAATCTTTCGAAAAATTTACCCCTAAATAGCATCCACAAAGCATATAAGGAGTATTGAACTCTCAAGTCAAGCAATTTTTAAATTTTAAGCAATATAGTCCTTAAAAGATCAAAATCATAGCTAACATCAATCTTAATACTTAATCATGCATTTAAAGTTCAACTTTATGTTGAATGCAAACAAAGTCACCTTACCTCCAAACTTAAACCGCACATTGTCCTTAATGTGCAATGAGAATAATGAAAAAGATGGAAAGAGTATACCATGGTGGCAAAGACATGAAGCCCGGCAATAACCTAATTCGAAAGACGTCTCCCCCAAATTTGGAATCAACAACCTACTTAAATAACCACACTAGCAAATTCACATTAAATCTAAAATGGTATAAGAATGATCAAATTATGCATTTTAAAGCAATACAACACAAAATGAAAGAGAGATATGAGATCAAGCCCGATAGAAAAATAGTATGACTACACATAAGGGCACAAGAGAGATTTTTTTTTTTTTTTTTGAATAAACAAAAAGGAATTCAATAAAGTATGAACAATGATTGCTAAGTTTTAACATCTCTAGCTAGACGTAATGTTGCTTTGAATAAATTTGAAATCCAAAAAGGGAAGAAAAAGGTCAAACCAAAGATGCTCAGATCGATCAAGTTCATATCGATCTCAAGAAATTTTCGATCGATCGAACATGCATGAACCTGCAGATATGTTCGAACAATGAGACAAAGAGGTCTTTGGATGCAGGTGGATGCAGGTTCAAAATTTTTTTAAGTGTTGGAACTGCAGATCGATCCAAGATAAAGTTGGATCGATCGAAGAACTAAAGATCGATCTAGGAACAAGTTCGAACAATGGGACAGAGAGCTGAAATATGCAGGTTTTCTTCGGACGATTGGACATAGAGGTGATTGGATACAGGAATGAAGTTCGATCGATCGAACAGGCAAAAACTCTTCCATTTTGCATTACATCCCTAAATGTCTTCATACACAGGGTTTGTTAAATGTGCAGCTTCCAAATGTCTTTGGAAGACCTGTCCCTCAATGTAGGGTTTAAATATCTGTCCATTAACCTTAAAAATGTTCCCCTTTTACAAATTTTGAATTTCAACCGCCCTATGCGGTGCAACAGAAATGACTTCATAAGGACCCTCCCATTTAGTTCTCAACTTCCCCGAAAAGAGTTTCAATCTAAAGTTGAAGAGCCAAACTTTTTAACCGAGTTCGAAAGACTTCTTCACGATATGTTTATTATGAAAAGTTTTAGTTCTTTCTTTGTAAAGTTTGGCATTATCATAAGCATTATGTCTCAACTCCTCCAACTCACTCAATTGTAACAACCGGTTCTCTCCGGCCTTATCAAGGTCAAGATTGAGCTTTTTAACCGCCCACAAGGCTTTATGTTCCAACTCAACCGGAAGATGGCAAGACTTTCCATATACAAGTCTATAAGAAGACATGCCAATGGGAGTCTTATATGCCGTCCAGTAAGCCCACAAAGCATCATTTAACTTCTGTGACCAATCTTTCTGGGTGGTGTTAACTGTCTTCTCAAGAATATGCTTAATTTCCCGATTAGACATTTCTACTTACCCACTTGTTTGAGGATGGTAAGGAGTGGCCACTTTATGAGTAACGGAGTACTTAAGAAATAAATGCCTTAAAAATTGGTTACAAAAGTGCTTTCCTCCGTCACTTATCATAGCCCTAAGCATACCAAAACGAGCAAAGATATTGGATTTGATGAATTGAATAACCACAGAATGGTCATTTGTTTTGGTAGCACATGCTTCCACCCACTTGGAAACATAATCAACGACAAAGAGAATATATTGAAAACCATAGGATATAGGAAATGGACCCATAAAATCAATGCCCCATATGTCAAAAATTTCTACAACAAGAATGTTGGTTAAAGGCATCATATCTTTTTTGACATTGAACCCATCTTTTGACATCTCTCACATGACTTACAAAAATTGTAGGCATCTCTATGGATAGTGGGGCAAAAGAGCCCACTTTGAAGAACCTTCAAGGCGGTCTTCTTTGCACTAAAATGTCCACCACATGCAAGAGTGTGACAAAACACTAGAATACTTGGAATCTCGCTTTCCGGAATACATCTCCTCACAATTTGATCCGGACAATAACGGTACAAGACAGGATCTTCCCAATAGTAATTCCGGATGTTGGCAAAGAAACGATTTTTTTCGTTCTTTGACCAAGAAGTTAGAAGTTTGCCAATTACCAAATAATTCATAATGTCGGCAAACTAAGGCATTTGTCCATTAGAAACTTGAAATAGTTGTTCATTCGGAAAAGAATTATGAATTGGTGAACTAGGGAAAGGTTTTATCGATA